AGCAGCTTCACAGAAAGCGTGACACCTAAACAAGCTTTTGAAGAATGAGTTGGTCAAACGCTGGAGATGGGGTATCACATTCCAAGTGGAGGAAACAGCATGTGCGAAGACAAAAGTGTGAAGGAGCCTGGCGGGGGTGGTGGAAGAGTGAGAAATTCAGCAAGAGGAGATGAGGCTGAAAACAGGGCTGTCACAGAGTTTTTCTGGAAAAGCAGGTAGGAGCTAGCTCATGACAGGCTGGAGTGACCTGATAACATTTGGAGTCTGGTAAACATTGCTGTCCTGAATTCAGGTTAGGTCAACTAAATACAATCACTTTAGTCAGTGTCCAACTAGATGAAGAGCTTTGGCTATGGCCTATCCGTGTGGACACTGCAGGAAGGAGTGTTGGCACCCAGCCCGCCCCAGCCACCCGCAATGGCCTGCAAGAACCACGGTCACCCAACTTCTGTGCTTTTGCATGACGCTTCTGCTGCTTGTTGGTACCTTATTAGCTCGTCAAGACCCAGCTCAGGCATCTTCCCAGGAAAGCTTCCCTGAAGAGCCTATGCTTCTATACTATCACAGCATTTGTCAGACTGTATGCATTACATCTATCTGTCTTCTTCCTCAGTCTGTGAGCTCCCCGAGGATGGGGACTATGTCTTATTTAGTCATGTACCAGACCCATGACTAGTATAAGACTTGATATATTAAAAGCTCAATACATGAATAGTGGGAAATAATATTACTATTACTAATGATAATAACATCATAACTAATGATAATTACATTTATTGCTTATTGTGCCAAATACCCCATTCCGAGCTATTTGTTCCAGCCTGAAAGCTCAATCCCATCTTGATTGCTCTTTCACCCTCTCCATCCATGTCCAGTCTGTCCCAAAGCCTGCCCACTGTACCTACTAAGTGTCTCTCAAACCTGCACTTTTGCCCATGGGCACTGCTTCTGTCTTGATCTAGGGCAGCATGGTCTCAAAACAGATGACGGCAACAGCCTCCCCCTGGTCTCTCTGCCTCCAGTCTTGCCCTCCAATTCATTCTCTATTCCTGTGGCCATAGCGATGATTCTAAAATGCAAACCTGATAACTGGCACACCCCAGTTTGAAGCTTTTCTGTGGCTTTCCTTTGCCCTTGTGAGCCTGGAGCTGTTCATAGGAGCCTGGAGCTGTTCATAGAATCCTGGGAGTAAAATCTACCATGAGAAACAGACTGTTAGGGAAGTTAATGAGTCAGCACCCAGATCTGCTTTTTGTCTGTTTTTAACCTACTATTTAATTGAGCATCTATATGTGTCAGGCACAAGGCGTATTACATATATTCTCTGATTTAATTCTACAGTAACCCCCAAATGTAGAGATTATTACCAATCTCATTCGACAGATGTGGAAACAGGCCTGAAATGGTTAAGTAACTTGTCTAAACTCAGGCTGTAGATAAAAGCCAAATCCAATTTGAACCCTGGCCTATCTAACTCTGAAGCCAGGGTCTTTAGACTATATACATATATCCACTGAATGAGGAGTTTTGAGGGGTATGAGACCTGTCCAAATTTAATTCTTATCTGTTTCTCTAAAACCTGGAACAGGGCCAATTGTCCTCAAACATAAACTTCCCCCACTAACAGTCTCTTACCCAGGTTAGACATCACAGCCATTAATTCTAAGATCTCTGACAGAGAGCCTCCTTAGCTCCCTGAATTGGGGAGAGAGATATGGGCACAGGTTGGTGGGATGAGATATGGTAGTGGGGTGGGAAGAGGAAGCAGGGCAGGCCCAAGGCCAGGGCAGAAGTGGGAACACCACAGAGGACCAAAGAGAGCATAAGGGAAGGGAGGGGATGTGAGAGACAAACTTTGCCTCCTCCACGTCACTCGGGATAGGCCCCACTGGCTCTCCGAACCTCATCCTAACCCTTCTTGGGGCCCCTGAGAGTCTAGGTGTACAGAACCGCAAACACATCCTAAATGGTAGAAGCTTAAAATGATCAAATCTTAGAACCACAAAATCTTCATGTTCTAATGAAATGTAGACTCTTAGAAACATGGAATTTTCAAATCTTGAATCTTAGAAACCTAGAACCTTAGAGTCATAGAATTTTGGAATCATGGATTCATAAACTATCTGTGCAGAAAACCTTTGAAGATAAAAGTTCACTCCCAGACACACGCTTAATTTTGCATATGGGAAACTGAGGCTCAGAAAGACTCATCCTCAACATCATACAGTGCATTTGTGGCACAAAGAGCTAGAGCTCCTCCCACCAGCCACGTGCAGGGATTGGGGCTAGTGCCAAGACTGCAGGGATAGAGGCAGAGGCCACCCCCTGCCTGGCAATTCTACCCCCTGCCTGGTTTTTCCTCCTTAGAAGAAGAGGGAGCTCCAGGGATGCCACCCTTCCTTGTGCCTCTCACCTAGGAGGGTCTGATAAAGGTGGGGATTATGGTTTCGGCAGGCCTCCTGGGGTTGAGGGATGGCCTGCCAGGCCCCCCATACTCTCAGCTACTGCCAGATCTGTTGGTGAGGGGAAGGGGCCTCCCGGCCTGGTCTTGGGCTGAGACATTCTCTCTGTCTTCATACTCTGAACAATCTGTGAGGGAGAGGGGATGCCAATTGGCTCAGGGGCCAGGATACAGGGCTGCCACAAGGAAGGTGGAACATGGTTTCTTCAGCAGCAAGGCTGAGACCTAAGGCCACAGTAGTGTTGTAATCGCCCCACTCCCTGGTGGGAGGAGGGGATTGAGGAAGAAAGACATTATTCAGTCCTCGGAGAGTTGGGCTGACTCTGACAAGCACCCCAGCTGGACCTGTGTCCCGCCCTCTCTGCCAGCGGAGGCTGAGATAAACAGTTCATTTGATACGGGCCAGCCGGGGCCTTGCTGGGAACGGGATCTGCTGTCTGATCCCCTCCTCTGCTTTGGGGGTTTGGAGGGGGGTGGGGAGAGAACTAAGCTGTGTGTTCCTTGGTCCCCAGTGGCCATCAAAATACAGCTCTGAGGGCATCAAAACCATGGCCTCAGACCTTTGTTCTGAGAGGCCCAAGAGGCAGAGCAGGAGCAGTGCAAGGAGCCAGAGGCTGATTTCTGCTTCTTACGAAGGCAACTTTCTAAAGGTTGGGAATGGCCCTTGAGCTCCTCAGCTCTAGAGCTGTGGATCCGGGGGCTGCACTCCAGCCCACCGCCAGCACTGAGAAAATTCTGCCTTGCGTGTGAGCTCCCCCTACAAGTGTACTGCTTTCAGTGCTCTGGAATTCTGTGAGTATAAAAGTCTATTAGAGATGATAATGTCCATCTTGCTGAGACCTTACCATGATTATCATAATAATAGCATTCAACTAAGTGTTGAGAACTAGGCTAAGTAAGCACTTTACAAGCGTTTTCCAATTTAGTTATCCAAACAACAATGTTAATGAGATAAGTGATGTGCAGAGAAGATAGTCAATGAATGTTGGTCCCTTTCTCCATATTTCAATCTTATTTAATTCAGCAAGCCTTTGTAGACACTTCACTTGTGCTGGGTCTCCCAGTTTTTTCCTAAAGGAACTCAGATATTCTTTAGGTAATGGACAGTTTTTCTATTGGAATGGTAGCATCATCCTTTCTGGGTGGTAAAAATCACCAGGTGCCTGAGTGGAGGAAGGTTGGCAGAAATAGGGCAAGAGACAGAAGGGTGGGGCCAGCAGCTGCAAGCTGGACCGGGAACCCTGACCCATGGCTTGTTGGTGAGCAGATGAGAGGTGAAGGCAGGTGAGTCCTAGAGAGAGCCCAAAAGCCTGGGCAAATGGTTGGCTGTAGAAGGTAAGAGGTTGGGACTTCAAGAAAGCAGGTTTGCAGGAAAGGTATCTAATCCACATTAGGAAACAATTTCAATCACTCTTAGAAGCACTCGTCTACATATTGACATATGCAGATTACAAAAAATAATCAACTGATGTGCAGTCACACACACAATAATCAATTGACTGCAATCACAGTAGCACCTATGACTGTTTTTAAGGATATTTAATCCATTTCCCATTTAAGAAAAAAAAGTGCAGCTCGCTCCCCGTGTTAATTTAACATCCCATGTTAGAATGCTGCGTTTTCTAGGATTTGACATTTTCAGCAATTAAGAATTACTATATTTTGTAAATGGAAGTACTACTACTAAAAACAGAATGCAATAAATAAAATGATGTCATTTGTTTCCAAAGACTATTGATATACTAGAGCAATGCGAAAATATTAAATGCGAGATATTTCATGGTAAACTTTGGGGATAAAGTTAGGACTGTAATCCGTGAGTTATCTCGGGGTAAATGCTGCAGCTGCAAGCACCACTGGCGAGTATTCTCGAGGCAATGGAAATGGGTTAAAAGTCAGTTTTCTAACCTTTTATTAGGCAGCACTTTGTTTTCCCAATTCAAGCACTTCTCATCATGGGACATAGTATAATATGAAAACAAAAAAGCTACTGTGAGTGGCTTTATTCAAAAGGTAGGTGAGAGAGAGAATAAGGGAACAGCAGAGGGTAAGAGAGTCGAGAGTACAGAGGTGTAGTAAATAACTAAACAAAATGAGACAAGAGGAAGCAAGTGTGATTATAAGGGCAGAAGGAGCTCTGGACTGTAAATCTGAAGACTTGGGCTTTCATCGCTGCTTGGTGACTGACTTGCTATGTGACCTCAGAGGTATAATTTGTCTTCTCTGGGCCTCAGACTATTCATCTAATTGTAATAACTAAATTTATACCACAATTTAAATTTATAAAGCACTTATACTGTTTAAGATTCAAAGCAGGACAGTGACATGCCCAAAGTCGCACAGTAAGTGAGTGGTCAAGCAGAGATTCAGACTCATTTAGACATTCTGGCCCCCTGACTGGGAGAGCATGTCCAGCAAATTCACTTTTGCCTGAGTGGTCCAGATGACATCCTTCGTAGAACCAGAAAAAAGGAGGGATGAGGCATGGTCTTTGGGCTGGAGCCTCCTGGAACTGACAAAGCCCTGTTTGATTTGCCAGGCCCGGACATGTTCTGCCTTTTCCACGGGAAGAAATACTCCCCCGGCGAGAGCTGGCACCCCTACTTGGAGCCACAGGGCCTGATGTACTGCCTGCGCTGCACTTGCTCTGAGGTACGTTCCTCGAGCCACCCAGCCACCTACGTCAGGTATCTCTGGGAGAAGTCGCTCTAGGGGAAAGGGAGGACAGCCTGACTCTAGAGGTCAGAGGCACTCCAGAATCAGGCCTTCTAGAATTATGCTCTTCTAACTACAGCTGAGGGACTTGGGGCCATGCCACTTCACAACCGAGTATTCAATACCTACTACCACTGCTGTGCACCTCTCAGAGATGAGTCACGCAATGGATCGGCGACTGAGCTGGCTGGGGACTTGAGTCTCCCATCTCTCATTCCAGCCTTCCTTAAACCTCTGCTGGTACCAGCCTCCCTACCTCCCGCGCAGCAGACGACAGAGCCTTTCTGACCTGGCCTCCCATTCCTTCCTTTCCTCGTACTATTTCTCCCAGGCATCTCTTGCCACCCTGCCTTAGTGTGCATTCCCCCAATTCCACTGGTCCAAAGAGTCGTTCTTCAAGGCTTTGGCCTAATGCTACGTCCACTAGTAGGCTTACTCAATCTCTCACCTGCAAGTATTTTCTTCTTCTGGGATCCCATGTAAGTTTCTCCGTCCCTTTCTCCTGACTGCTGATGCCAGGTATAATAGTTATCGGTGTTTGCCAGTTACTGCGCCTCCTAGGTAGGTGGAGCCCAAGAGCAGGTCTTCCTGGGGGCTCCCTGCCCCCCCGCCCACCCCACCGCCTGGGGCAGAGACTATGTCTTTTTGTCCTCTGTCTCCTGCCACTCTACCCCCAGCCCAGCATCCCCTGCAGGGCCTTGCACAATCAACTAGGTGAAATAAATGAGACCCCCATATGATTCAGAATTCTTAGGCCAGGTGTGAGGTTGGAGGGTGGGCAAGAGAGAAGAGATTTAAGAGGCTTGAATTACCCTTGGCTTTAGCTCAGCTGCCAGAGGCCCAGCCTGGTTGTCACGATATCCTCAGCTCTCTCTGGGTGCTGGTACCTGCAGAGAGAGGGTACCTATCTTTCAATTGGAGCCA